CTCCAGCCTTCTCCGTGTAACCCTTGATCCCCTTACTAATCACGAACTTATCTATCTGTGTCTTGAATACATTTAGTGACTTGGCCTCCACCCTCTTCTGCACCCATTCCGGGAACAGATCTGGTGAACCATTGGTGCACTCCCTCTATGGCAGTCCTGTCTTTCCTGTGATAAGGAGACTTAGACTGCACACACTACTCCAGGTATGGTCTAGTCAAGCTTTTATTCAGTTGAAGCTAGACTTCAGTCCTTCCGTACTCAAACCTAACTTTACACTAGTCTTCTTCGTAGTTTTCTGCATGTGCTTATTAGCCTTCAGTGAGTTATTGACAAGGATACCTGGGTCCCTTTGCACATCTGCACTTTCCAGCTTCTTACCATTAAATAAATATTGTACACATCTGTTTATCCTGACAGTGGATAATGTTGTTTTTCCACATCATATTCCATCTGCCATATTCTTTTCAGTAACCATGTCCAATCCTCCTGAAACCACTTTAAATCTTCCACAGAACATATGTTTCCACTTAGCTTTGTTTCATCTGCAAATATAGGATCATTACATTGATCCTATTTCAATCATTAATATATTGTGAACAGCTGAAGCCCAAGCACTGATCCTTGCAATGCCCCACTAGTCACAGCCTGTCAACATAGAATAACATTTATTCCTGCTGTGTTTTCTGTTAGCCAATCATTCTTCCATGCCAGTACATAACCACCTATCCCATGTGCTCTAATCTTTCTAACCAGCCTCCTGTGGGGGCCTCTATCAAAAGCCTTCTGAAAATCCAAGTGTACTACATTCACTGGTTCTCCTTTATCAATTTTGTTAGTGACAACTTCAAAAAACTCAAAGTTTGTTAAATACGATTTCCCATTAGCAAACTTTTGCTGACTGTGTCCAATCATATCATTGCGTTTACCCCATCTTTTATAATTGTAGTTTCACCCCACTGCTGATTTAAGGCTGATGGGCTTGTAGTTTGGCATTTTGTATCTTGCTTCCTTCTTAAATAGTGGGGTTGACTTTTGCTACCTTCCAATCTACAGGAATTATTCCAAAGTCCATAGAATTTTGGATGATAATTACCAAACATCACTATAGCTACATACTTCAATGGCCTGGGATGAAGATCATCAGAACCTGGGGATTAATCAACTTTCAGCCCCATTAATTTCTCAAATATAATAATTTTACTAATGCTAGTTTCCTACAACACCTCATTCTCCCTAACCACTTGGATATCCACTTCTAGGAGATTTCTTGAATATTCCTCTGTGAAAATGGATGCAAAGTAATCATTTAGCTTCTCTGCCATTTCTTTATTCTCCATTGCAAATTTTCCTGACTCAGCCTTTAAAGGACCCACATTTGTTTTCACCAGATGTTGCCTTTTTGCATGCCTGTCAAAGCTTTTAGAGTTAATTTTTGTCATATGCCAAATTGCATTCATATTCTGTTCCCCCTGTCCTTATCAGTTCCCTACCTTCTCCTTTTGTTGTATTCTACAAACCTCTCAATTGCTACTGTTTCTGGCAACTGTATAGGCCTTTTCTTTTAATCTTCTCTAAAAACCATGAACCAGTTGATTGATCAATTTTGAGTTTTTACATCTTGAATGAGTGTAGAGTTGCTGTATTCCAGTGACATGGAACAGTCATATTTGTTAGCAAGTGATTGCTGACAGCGGCAATAGTTGCTGTATGTCATGCAGTCGCCCTTTAAAGACTATCCATTGCTTATGTACTGCTTTTAATGTATTTTGCGAATTTATTCAGCTATTTTGTGCCTTATGTCTTCATAATTTCTCTTATTCAAATTTAACACCCTTGCTTCAAAATGAATTGTCTCACTTTCAAACTTAATACAGAAGTCTGTCATAATCTGGCCACGTATCCCTAAAGGTTCTTTTATAACAAATTTCCTAATTAACACTTTTTCATCACATAATACTAAATCTAAAATAACACGTCCTCTAGTTGGCTTCTCAACATACCCTTGTAGAAAACCATTTCTAACACACTCCAGAAATTCTCTCCTTCAGCTTGTACAAAGATTGAAATCACTGATGATAACTGTTGCCCATGATACATTCTTCCTTCATCTTCTAATTAACACCATTCTGTACACTACCACAACTGTTTGGTGACCTATAAATAACTCCAACCAATGTCTGCTGTCCCTTGGTGTTTCTTCGCTCCACCCAAAGAAGTTTCCACATTGTTCTTCCAATTTGAGATTCTTCCTTACTAATGTAATGACCCCATCCCTGTTATCAGCACACCTCCACCTCCTTTCCCTCCGTGTCTGTCTTCCTAAATGTTGAATATTCAGTTCCCAGCCATTGTTGTCATGCAGCTATTTTTCTATAATGACAATTAGACCATACCCATCTATCCTTGTTTTTGCCTGTTGATTATTTTCTTTGTGGATGCTGCATGCATTCAGATAAAGTGCCTTTAACTTTGTCTTTTTGACATCTTTTTTGGCTTTCTGTTGCTAATTTTATTTCCTTCCAATTTGGGATACTCCTCAGCTTCCCATCATACTGACAAGCAAGCTGGTTTAAACTCAATCTAACAGCACTAGCAAATCTCCCACTGAGGATATCTGTCCCAGTCACATTAAGATGTAACCTGTCCAGTTTGTATAGGTCCTACCTGCTGATAGGTAGGTATGAAAGCAAGTTGTGAAGATGATAGAATTTGTTAAGGGGTGCAGATAGGTTCAATGAATGACAAAGATTTGGCAGATAGCACAAAATATGGGAAAATGAGAGTTGTCTATTATAACGGGAAGAATGTAAAAGCAGAATGTTATTTAATGGAGACTGCAGAATACTTCATACATGAATCACAAAATGTTAGCTTGCAGGTACTTAGGAATGCAAATTGTGTTGTCTTTTATTGCAAGATAGGTGGAGTATGAGTATGTAAAGTATGCTACAACTGCAGGCCATTAATGAAATCACACTGAGAGTACTGTGAATGGCTTGGTCTGTTTGCGGGCGGATATAATTGCGTTGGAAGCAGTTCAGAGTAGGTTCACTAGGCTGACTCCTGGGATGAAGGGGATCTGAGGAAAGTTTGAGCCAATACTCATTGGAATTGAGGTGAATGCAAGGTGAAAGAATAAAGGAAAATAACCTGCAGACAAAAGTACTGATTGCTCAGTAGTATGGATAAGATTAAGAACCTGAAAAAAAATGGCGTGTTCTTCACCATGTTGCAGAGAAAAAGACAGCAGTGACAAAATAGGGACTTATTTGGGCGGCACGGTGGCTCAGTGGTTAGCACTGCTGCCTCACAGCACCGGGGACCCAGGTTCAATTCCATCCTCGGGCGACTGTCTGTGTGGAGTTTGCACGTTCTCCCCGTGTCTGCGTGGGTTTCCTCAGGGTTCTCTGGTTTCCTCCCACAGTCCAAAGATGTGCAGGTGAGGTGGATTGGCTATGCTAAATTGCCTGTAGTGTTCAGGGGTCTGTAGATTAGGTGGGTTATAGGGGGATGGGTCTGGGTGGGATGCTCCAAGTGTTGGTGTGGACTTGTTGGGCCGAAGGGCCTGTTTCCACACTGTAGGGATTCTATGATTTGTAAAGTCAACGGAAATCAGCAATTTATTGATTATATTAAATTACTCTGCAGATGAATGACCCCTTGATAAATTATCCCATTTGACCCGATGGTTACGATCGCTATAATTGGTTTTGTTAGTAAAATTCACTATCGCTAAGGTCAGTGCTTGGTTTAGGAGAAGGGTCTCAGATTATTTAAAGGAGTTGGCAGAATTTATGAAACTGGCCCAAACCTGCAGTGTTCAATGGCAGCTGGTAAGTTTAGCAAGATTTTGTTTTGTTACAACCTTAATTAAGTTGTAATTTGTATCACAACATTAGTTGAACGTCTTAAGCTTATGTGCACAGAAAGGAATACATGGTGTAGCCATGTAGAAAAAGAGCATTCTTGGACAAAATGTAATTTTAGTTTAGTAGCTCAACTATTTCTCTAATAAACATGGACATAAGCTCTGATTGGTGTAGCTGGTGATTAGCTCACATTAAATTTATTTTGTTATAATTCTCCAGACTTCAAACTAGTCATAGGTTTGTATTAAAGGCTAAGTTTTTAATAAAGTTGTGTTAATGCATCTCCTTGCCTGACTTAGCATTAACCCTGGCAAGTATGAGTTAACTATACCACTCCTGTACACCGCTTTGGACTGATAATATCAACATGAGTTAGAATGTGTGATGTAGAACACTTCAAAGGCAAATTAACTTGGGTGCCGTAAAACCTATGTAGAGATGAAAGGGTTTCCAATCCTATATGCTTATATGTCAGGGACATTGTTCAAGGTGGAAGTGCTGCAGAACAGTTAGTTGGTTCTGCTCTAACATGATAATTGCATTCCTGTGCAACATCGTGGTGTAGAAAATCTTGCTATTGAAGTACTGGGGCCTATGGCAAAAGTGGGTTTGGGGCAGACCACCAAAAAAAACACTCAAAAGCCTAACACAAAGGATAGCACAATTTGAATAAATGTTTAATTCATATCTAATAACGAAATAAAAGTAAATTTAACACTTTACCATGAAAAAATGTCAAGATGACTTAATGGGGGCGGAGGTTATACTGTACCCCTCACAGAAAGCACTTCACAACAAAGCCTGCAAATTGATCACGTGATGCCAGCGCAGAAACTTTCAACGCTAACATTGTACGTATTCATGACAAAGCCCGTGAAATGATCATGTGATGTCGACGCATACCCCTCCACGCACCGATGGAGTTGTGTTATAGACAACACAAGTTCGCGTTTTAGAAATAGCGTTCCCCTATTCATCAATCATGTTACTGCCAATTCGTGTTGATGGAACATGCATTATAGCAGAATCAACTGTAGATGGATATTTTGTGATTAAATGTGTGTTACATGTTGCAAGATCTCTTGTACATGGTACACGATTTATCAATGAAATACCTTTCTTTAATATCAGGGATAGAGTTATGAGCCAATACTACTATCAATATGACAACAAATTGATCTTCTTTGATCTTTTTTGGTGAGTACTCATGAAAACAATGTTTACTTTGATCTTACTGCCTTGCATGAGCCACTTTAATATGCTGTTTCTTAATTTGGGCAACTGAAAAAATGCTGTCTCATTTTTATTGCAGTGCAATGTTTGTTAAAAGTGAATTGTAAAGCTGGAAATGAGGAGACTGTCAGAAAGACTGGTCGAGTGTCTTTCTTAAGCTCAAGAAGTTCCAAGAGTTTAGTGTAGAAAAACATGCCAGTGTGCTTAGAAATCCTCCATTTGTTGTAGATACTGTAGTCTCTTGGGTACAATAGCACAGGTGATTCCTGAGAATAGTTTGTTAAATGGTTTGGGTCCAGAAGTAGTTCCACACCAGCCGATATGTAGTTAAGCCGTAATGAGATCTCTTGTGGCATTGTGGTAGTGTCCTTTAATCTCTGAGGCAGAAACTGGGTTCAAATCTCATGGGCTCCAGAGATATATAATATCATTTCTGAACAAGTTGATTAGAAAATATCAGGAATTTACTGTAAGTATTAAGGCTGTTAGGTGCAGTGGTAGGCCCGTGTGCTCCAGCAATGTGTAGTAAAATCTGTGCTTATTCAGGAGTGTGAGACAAAACTATAGCAAGAGAGGCCCCTTTATGACTTGTGCTATGTGTTATCTCTTGCAAGGTGGATTTAAGCACTTAATGAAACCAGATCAGAGTAAATCCATTTAGTGAAAATTTTTTTGCAGTTAGCTAGCACATGAACAATGTTAGAATTGACAGTGAGTTTCATCTTGATTCAGCTCATATAGAACCATGCTTGAGGAAAATAAATGTGTCACCTTAGGCAAATTGGTGTGTTTGTTTAACTATTCTCTATTGCTTTACTGATAAGACTAGCTCTGGGTTAAATATGATTATCCTTTTTTAGGGCTGAGCTTTTTTACCAGACGGAGTCAGTTTATTAATTGCATGTCTCTGTGCCTTTCCTGGATATTCACCTTGTGGGTGGGATTTTCCTTTTGACTCTTTACCCCAATCAGTGATCTGTCATTAGGCCTGGATGTGTAATAGTGATCTGGGGAAGGGCATATCCTCTGTTAAATGATCCTTATTTTGCTGTCTTGTGTTTACCTCTGTAGTTGCATGTAGGAGCTGCCTCAATTTCAATGATCAAGGAGATTGGGGAAAAAGAATACATTAGCTACTTTCCTTCCCCATAGGTGCTTAAATGAAACACGTATCCCCTTCTGAAAGGATCCTAGACTGTAAGCAGTTGCTGTCTCTGGATTTTCTGGCCTTTTGGCATCACCATTAGAAAAAAATGCAGAAGCCCTTTTTGGGGCCTTGAGTTTTCATATAATCATTCAAATGAAGGCATGTCAATATAACAAGCTGTTTTTAAAGAGAAATTGTTCATTGGATATAGACATCGCTGGCTCAGCCTGCATTTATTGTCCATCCCTCATTCTCTTGAGAACAAGGTGGTGAGCCACTGCCACCTTAAAGCCCTGCAATGCATGCAGTGTGGGTACATCCTGTGCTGTCAGGAAGGGAGTTCCAGTTTTAGATTGTGACTGTGAAGGAATGACGGTTATATTTCCAAGTCAAGATGGTGTGTGGCCTGGAGAGGAACTTGCAGGTTGTGGTGTTCCCATGGATTTAGTGCCCTTGTCCTTTTAGGTGGTAGAGTTTTCAGGCTTGGGAGATGCTATCTGATGAGACTTGCAGTCATAGAGTCATACAGCATGGACATAGGCCCTTTGTCCAACTTGTCTATGCTGACCAAGTTTCCCAAACTAAACTAGCTCCACTTGTATGTGTTTGGCCCATTTCAATCATATCTATGCCTCTCATAATTTTATAGACATCTATCAAGTCTCCCCTCAGCCTCTGCTGCTGAAGAGAAAACAACTCGAGTTTTTCTAGCTTCTCGTTATAACTCATACCCTCTAATCCTGGCAGCATCCTGATAAACTACTTCTATGCCCTGTCCAAAGTCTTGACGTCCTTACTGTAATGTGGCGACCAGAATTGAACACAATACTAAGTGTGGCCTAACAAAAGTCTTACAAAGCTGAACATGACTCCTGACTTTCATACTCAGTTCCCCGACCAATAAAGGCAAGCATGCTCTTTATCTTCTTTACCACCCTATTTACTTATGTTTTCACTTTCAGGGAGCTATGGACTTGAACTCCAAGATCCTTCTGTACATCAGTGCCATTCAGAGTCCTGCCAGTAACATTTGATATCCCAAAGTGCAGCACCTCATTTACCTGGATTAAACTCCACCTGCCATTTCTCCACCTGCTTCTGATCTATATCCCACTGTATCCTTTGACAACTTTCTACACTATCCACAACTCCACCGATCTTTGTATCATCTGCACACTTACTAACCCACCCATCTACATTTTCATCGAAGTCATTTGTATATTATCACAAACAGCAGAGGTCCCAGTATGAATCCCTGCGGAACACGACTAGTCATGGACCTCCAGCCTGAAAAACATCTTTCCACCAGTACCTTCTTTGGGCAAGCCAGTTTTGAAGACAACCAGCCAAGTCACCATGGGTTTCATGCATCTCAATCTTCTGGATAAGCCTACCGTGTGGGATCATGTCAAAAGCCTGATAAAATTGTTGTAAACAACATCCACTGCTCTACGGTCATTGATCACCTTTGTCCCATCAGAAAAAAATTCAATCAAGTCAGTAAGACGTGACCCGCCCTGCATAAAACCATGCTGACTGTCCCTAATTAGGCCGTGCTTTTACAAATGTGCATAAATCCTATTCCTAAGAATTCTCTCCAATAGCTTCCCAACCACCAATGTGAGACTCGCCAGTCTATAGTTTCCCGGATTATCCCTATTTCTCTTCTTGAACAGAAGAACAACATTAGCTACTCCATGTCTTTCCTCACAGTTAAAACTGATGCCAGATATTTGTTTAGTATCTCTGTGGTTCCACATGTAGACAACTTTGTTGATCATTAAGGGGCTCTATTCCCTGTCTAGTTGCTATTTTTCTCTTAATGTACTTGTAGAACCTCTTTGGATTATTCTTAACCTTCCCCATTTTTGCCCTGCTGATTTCTCTCTTAAAGTCCCTACACCCCCTTGTAGTCTTCAAGAGATTCACTTGATCCCAGTTGTCTATACCTAACATGAGCCTCCTTATTCTTGACCAGAGCCTCGATATCTTTATTCATCTATTGTTCTGTACTCTTACCAGCCTTGCCCTTTGCTCTAACAGGAACATAATAACTCTGAACTCTCGTTTTCCCAGTTTTGAAAGTCTCCCTCTACCTGCAAATAGTCTACTGCAGTCAACTTTTGAAAGTTCCTGTCTCATACCATCAAAATTTGTCTTGCTCCAATTAAGAACTTTAACTTTTATACAAGGCCTATCCTTTTCCGTAACTATTTTGAAAATAATAGAATTATGATCACTAACCCCAAAGTTCTCCCCCACTAACACTTCAGTCACGCCTTGCCTTATTTCCTAAGAGAAAGTCAAGTTTTGCTCCTTTTCAAGTAGGTACAACTACCTGTTGCTGCAACAGTATTCCTGTGGTGGAGGGAGTGAATATTTAAGGTGGTGGATGAGTGCAAATCAAGGTTGTTTTGTCTTGTGTGCTATTGAGATTTTTGAGTATCGTTGGAGCTGCAGTCATCCATGAAAGTGGAGAGTATTCTATCATACTCTTTCCTTGTTTTGTAGATGGTGGTCTATGGGGAGCCGCTTACAGCAGAATTCTCAGTCTATATGGTGGTGCAAATGTTATTTGCTACTTATCAGGTCAAGCCTGAACGTTGTCTAGGTTTTGCTACCTGTGGACACAGACTGCCTACTATCAGAAGAGCTGTGACTGGTACTGAATATTATGTAATCACTAGCGAACATTTCTTTTTCTGACCTTATGATAGAAGGAAGATAATTGAAGAATCAACTGGGCTCGAAGATTGGTGTGGGTGAATTGGGTTTCAGTTTGTGGGGCACTGGCACCAGTAACATGTAGAAGGGAGCTGGGATGGACTTCACTTGAATTATATTGGGACCAGTGTCCAAGTGATTTGGGTGTCTTTAATACTTAATGAAGAATAACAGGTGGCTTGATTGATGCAAATAAGAGCCTGAAGAGTCTTGACAAGGTAGATGTGGAGAGGATGTTTCCTTTTACGGGAGAATCTAGAATGAGGAATCTCCCTTTAAAATTAAAGGGTCTCCCATTTGAGCAGACATGAGATGAACATTTTCTCAGAAGAAAATGTTCATCTCATGTCAGCTCAAATGGGAGACCCTTTATTTTGTGTGCCTTTGGAACTCTTGCTGATACAGAGCTGGAAACATAATCTTTGCATATTTATAAGGCAGAGGTAGATAGATTATTGGTAAGGAAGGTGGTGAAAGGTTATCGAGGATAGGTGGCAATGTGAATCTGTGTTCCAATCAATTACCTTACTGACTGGCGAATCTATTTCCAAGAGCTGAACAGTCCACTTTTGCACCTTGCTCCCATGTTTGTTTCATTGAGCACAAGGATGGTTGTGAAACCTTCTGCTCTGTTAGTGGCTCAGTTGTCCACTATAGTTCATGGATGGATGGAAGGAACGGGAATACAGAGCTTTGATTTAAAACGTTGGTTATAAGGTTGCTTTTACCTGTGTCGTTGCATGCTGTTTGGCATGCAAGCAAGTCCTATATTGCATCTTTACCACATTGTTTTTAAATTTGCCGAGGGCATCTGTCATATTGTCCTCTATGCATTATTGACCCAAGCTTGATAGTAATAGCAAAGTGGGAGAATATGGACCATGAAATTGAAAGCTGTGGTTGAGTACAATTCAAGCTGCTGATAGTCCTTAGGACCTCATTGAAGCCCGTTGGAGAGTTGTTCAAAATCTATTCTAGTTAGCATGCTGATAGTGCCACTGAACATTATTGAGGCTATCCTCAGTGTGAAGATGGGACTTAGATGGGACTCCACAAGGCCTATGCATTGGTCATTCCCACCAGAAGTGTCATG